TCTCTCTCTCTCTCTCTCTCTCTCTCTCTCTCTCTCTCTCTCTCTCTCTCTCTCTCTCTCTTTTTCTCTCTCTCTCTCTCTCTCTCTCTCTCTCTCTCTCTCTCTCTCTCTATCTCTCTCTCTCTCTTTCTTGCTCTGTCTCTCTCTCTTTCTTGCTCTCTCTCTCTCTCTCTAACTCTCTCTCTCTCTTTCTCTAACTCTCTCTCTCTCTTTCTCTAACTCTCTCTCTCTTTCTTGCTCTCTGTCTCTCTCTCTTTCTTGCTCTCTGTCTCTCTCTCTCTCTCTGGCTGCGAGAGCCTAAATGAGATGGAATTGTTAAATTTCTAAATGCGTGGGAATTGTTAAGTGTTTAAATGAGTTGGAATCGTTAAGTGTCTAAAAGAGTGTGTTCGGGGGGGGGGGTGGTGGTGTTGAAGTCACGCTGGTAATTCTCTTAGGTTCATCTTCCATATGGCACATTGCTCTCGTTGTAGCGAACGCCCTTAAAAATGGAGAATTTTAATTGAATGTCGCGATAATTCAATCATGATATATCGTTATCACCAGATTAATATCAGTTCAATCATATATCAGTACCGCAAGAATAATGTCAATCAATCATATCTCAGAATCACTAGAATAATATCAATCAATCATATATCAGTATGACAAGAATAGTGTATCAATTCTATCATATCTCAGTGTCACTAGAATAATATCAATTATATCTTATCTCAGTAGCACTTTAAAACTATTAATTATATCATATCTCAGTATCACAAGAACAATATCTGTTTAACTGTGTCTGCTCCCTTCGTATCCTACTTTAAATCAAACAGTTATGAAATCGATCCTTTGACAACATTCATCCCATTTCACTTATGATTCTCTGACGTAAGCATCTTGTGACTTGTGATTGATTCGAACTATCATAACAGTATTCTTACCTATACGTGACCCAGTTACACTGCTGCAGATTGAGAACCCTTGCTCTATTTAAGACGGCAGCAGCAGAGTAAGGGGAACCTTTAAATAGAAACGTTGACCCAATTAAACGTTCCCAGTAGCGTATTGGAATGACCTATCGGCACAGTTTGGAGGTCATTGGATGAAATCTTCCAAATCTCCTGTAAACACCAGGGAACCCTTGTCGTGTACAATCTGTAAGCCACTGGTGTCGGGCGAACCAAGGACGAAAACTGTTAGGTCACAGTCACGTGATGGTGATGTGTGTGTGTGTGTGTGCCACATTAGACACTCGTGACGTCACAGCGACGTTAAGGCGACGCGTGCGCCACACAGACACTCGTGACGTCACAGCGACGTTAAGGTGACGCGTGCGCCACACAGACACTCGTGACGTCACAGTGACGTTAAGGTGACGCGTGCGCCACATAGACATTTCGTGACGTCACAGTGACGTTACAACGCTGTGTGCACCATACTTGAAACCGAGCACTTATGACGACATTGTCAAGTAAATATGTTCAGCTTGAGACCTATAGCCTCAACTATAAAAGGTTTCTTGTCAAGGAAGACCAAGTTCCGTATCAACCGTATTAAATGTAACGCGCGCGCTACAGCAAAGTTCACACATGCACCACACACAAAAAAATTTTTTTAAATACCGATATAATCTACGTAAAATATCAATAAAATATAAAAGGTGCGTGCACAAACGGATCAATTTACGTAGGGGTGTCTCTACGGAGCCAGGTTCTTGTACAAGGATAAACTAGTCACGTGCGGATGGTCCGGTGGCGGTGAAACCTTATTTCATTTTGTTGACGCACGGGGGCCGTTTGTTGACTGAGAATTTCCCTCTTTGTTTAGACATGTGCCTTCTAACAAGATTCGAGGCTACGCTCGGCACAAAGATGGCGCTGCCACCCCTTCCCCCCCCCCCCACATCCCTCCCCCCCATCCCTACCCCCCATCCCTACCCCCCCCTGCCCTAGGCTGTCGGTCGACTTCCAGGAACGTACACTCAATTACGTAACACATTACCCCCCACACCCCTCCCCCCCATCCCTACCCCCCATCCCTACCCCCCCCTGCCATAGGCTGTCGGTCGACTTCCAGGAACGTACACTCAATTACGTAACACATTGCTTCTCCCGCGTCATTCTTATAAACATCTCGACTAACTGCAAGATCTCAGTTAACCGCTTGTTGGATTGGAAAAGTTTACGCAATGAATGAACTGATAGTGTGTACCAAGAGAAAGGAGAAGGGAAGGAAACCAACCAAAAAACAGCGTTTAATAACAACGATGGTTAACGCGAAATTAAATTTAAACAAGCTGTTTATCTTGCGCAGGCGTTTAGCCGGAGCCGAGAGATTAAAAAAAAAAAGTGGAAGGGGGTGGAAGGGGGTAAAGGGGCTGGAGAGAGCACACGTGATTTCTATCTTGTTTTAACACACGGCCTGACGTGTTTAAAATCGGATCAATTAAAAATAACCTATAAAATGCAATTCGGGCGGTGATTGCATAGCTTGAACGACAGGAACCACTCAGTCAACGTTGGAGCATCAATGTCCAGGGGTACAACAACAAGGCTGCCTTGTGGAGGGTATACATGTTTTGGCTGCAGGTTCGCGGGATGGTGGGGGTAGTATGTTTCTGTGGAAGAGATGGAAATTGGCACGTACAGGTTTATAATTAATAGCTAATCTCACGACCACCCTTCAGCCGAACGCCACATTTTGTCAATTGGACCTCTCAAGTGTGGCGCGTACATCGTCATGTGATACATCATATGGTGATCTGCTGTGGCGTCGCTGTCATATGATTGTTTCATGTGCTGATGCTCGCCCCTGGAGTCTGGTGTCATATGACTTCGTCTGGTGCAGTTCTCGGAGATCTACTGTCATTTAAGACATTTGGACAGCATCCATGTCTTCCCGAGGGTTGAAGGGAACTTGACGTCAGAAGTCCCTGCTAAATAAGTGAATTCCCTGCAGGCTATCAAGGTAATGTTAAGTGTGGGCTGACGGCAAAGGTTGACTGACAGTTGCATATGCGCGCGCCCGCAAGTAGGTGGGGTTCATCCCAGCTCAACTTTTATCTACTGATTGTTACATATGGAGATTGGGACATAGTGGGTTAATGACATGCCAGTAAGGGCATTCTTGGCTGAGCAGTTGTTGAGTTATGGAGCTTTTTGTGCAGAGGATCATTAGAAGGCTTACGGCCATCTTGTGTAGAGGAACATTAGAGGGCTTACGGCCATCCTAATCAAGCTACTGGTACTAACTTAGAAAGGTTCTGAAAATAAATTGAGTTTTTTTTTTTTCTTTCGCCATCTTCTCTGTAACACGCCATATTCTCTGTACCATGTAAAGTATCTTATTCTATTCGCCACTAGTTTCAACTTTATCTAGACCAGGGTTCTCAACCTGTGGGTCGCGACCACTTGGGGGGGGGGGATCGAACGACCTTTACATGGGAATCGCCTAAGACAATAGGAAAACCCATATTTATGAAGTAGCGACGAAAATAATTTTATGGTTGGGGGTCACCACAACATGAAGAACTGTATCAAATGATCGCCGCATTAGGAAGCTTGAGAACCACTGATCTAGACTGACCAACATAAATTGGTGAACCTTTGGTTTTGTTTGTTTATTTCTGAGCATCAGGCTACCCCTCCTCCCACCCCCCACCCCACGAGCTTCATGTCGCGTGTTGCTTGGAAAGCCTGTGTTTTGGTGACATTAACTCAAAGTGTGTGGGAGGGAGGTTCGGGGGGGGGGGGGTGGTGTCTGACAAACTGACGGATAGCTCCTTTAAGGGAGGTAAGACGGTAGATAAGCCGGCTCCGACAGATGTTAACTTTATGAACTCCCCCCCCCCCACACACACACACCCTCCCTTCGTATACAGTTTATGATGTACCCGGGGCTGATGTGATAGCCCCCCTCTTGACTTCCACTAGAACCGTGATTGGACGAGACACGGACGACATGCCACTTGTCGCAGGGGAAAGGGGGGTATGGGGGTGGGGGGGGGGAGGAGAGACACAAACCTATCATCTTAACTCTTCCTTGCTATCTCCATAACTATCGTAACATCATTTGTTACATTTCCAGTCACGTTTTGAGATCGGTGGTTTCGCTGTTACAAAAATTAACTCACCGTGGAAGTTTGCCGATGCCAGAGGCGGAGATTCTTGGAGCAACAAAGTTCCCCAAATCTGCTCAGAGGTTCTCGTACAAATGTATCAACGCACCCGGGGGCGATATAAAAAAAAGATCATAATCGTTTTAAATAAACTCTTTTCAAAGCAAGTTAATGAACAATCGAGGCGAAAGGGATGTATGTTCTAGTTTGAGGCCCTTTGTTTAACTTCTATAATAGAAAATGCTCTTGTGACCCTTTGTTACCCTAACTCTAGCAAAAATTATTCACTTGCACTGATCTAAAATTATACATTTCCACTAAAACACCATTTATACACTTTCACTCATCCAACATTATACACTTCCACTCATCCAACATTATACACTTCCACTCATACTACATTATACACTTCCACTCATCCAACATTACACACTTCCACTCATCTCAAATTCAAGTTATTGCTAGAGTGTGCAGGTGATTTCTAACTTACCTAATAATGTTTGAAAAAAAGTGGAATAGCCATTGGTAATTAAATTTTCTTAACAATTAATGCAAACCCTTTCTATAGTTATAGAATAAATACACTGCAGAATTGTAATTGTATTGTCCTGTAGTATTCTGCCAGCGTATCGCTCTATACAGTAAGTCTCCATTGTTGGAAGCAATGTAAAAATTAAATTTAAAAACAACAACATCATTAAACAGTGTTAAAGTAATTTAGTTCTAAAGAATTGAAGCTTCAATCTATTGAATTAAATGCACATGAATTTATTGGGGGGGGGGGGGGGGGGGAATGATACTATAGTGGTTTTTACACCCGACTCTACACGTAGTTATTTGTTGTAAAGTATTCGTTAAAACAGATTCAAATTTCTAAGCGTAGTAGTTATAGAAAAATGGCGTTGACAAGCTCGAAACGAACAACTTTACTCTTACTGCCTGCTGTGCCCTAAAAAAGATAATTTCAAAAATATATACATAAATCCGTCAATGAAAACCCTTTTAACCACAAAGAATAAGTTCCTCCCAATTTAGATCGTTAGAAGATTTCTCCGGCAGACGTACAAACTGTCAGGTATTCAAGAGCAGTTGTGTTAGTTCAGCTTCACTTGTTAACTTATCGGAACAATCACACAGCGCAGTTGCGGCATCTCGTTGAGGGTATCGGCACCACAGGCTTGATGTGTGGACGGGTCCCCGTCCTAATACGTCAGCTCGTGGTTCTCGCTCATCATGCAGCACTTCAGCTTGTCCAGGCAGTGGAGCCTGTCGCAGTCGCCCCGGTAGATGCCGATCAGGAAGTAGTAGCGCCTGCACTTGCAGAGACCGGCGGCGTCGAAGCAGCAGTTGGTGTTCTCCTCGTAGCACGGGCCGTAGTACGTGGGGTGCCCGGCCGGCTTGGCACATCGGCCGGCGTCCAGGTTGCTCAATCGGCCCGAGGAGGACGCGCTCCTGTACAGCCCTTGGAGGAAGTACCCGTCCGGGCAGAGCGCCCAATGATGGTCTCTGTCCAGGTTCGACTTCCAGTCCCCGCTGACCGTGACCGTTTTCTCCTCCCGCCACATCAGCGGGGCGGGGCAGCACTGGGCGTATCTGATGAGCTCGAGGCCGTCTTTGCTGTCACTGGCCCTTTCTCCTCGGGCGATGCCCTGTATGTAAGAGTAGTTTTTACCTTGCTTGCAGTCGGAGTAGCCTTGTCGTCTCATGCTTAGAGTCCAGTTCGACAACGCACATTCGCATTTCGCACCTACCAGCAAGTTTGAAAACGCTATAAATAGTATCCAATGGTTTTCCATTGCCGCACCGACAACTAATGTTTGTTTGTTTTTCCTTGCGTTGACGATTTTGATACTATTTATGTCGATCTACGTAGTTTAAGGCATCTTTAGAGGGTTAGACGCGATGATAAGGTTCAGATTGTTCACAGTGTTCAAAACAAATGTGTGCTTCTCGGTGCGGATTGGTGCGCTTCTCGTTGCGGATCGGTGTGCAAGACTTAATATTTTATTTTTCAAATGAGATCCCAAAGCTTTATTTGATGGGCTGCGTTCAAATTTGTGTAAAACAGAGTAGCTTGCCCGTGGTTGCCGCCTACTTTTACCAAATTGGGTTGGTCCCAAAATCATGTTTGCTGTTTCTAAACTCGATTCCAGTAAGTTAATTAGGGTTAATTAAAACAGACCCAATAATGTAGTTTTTAAAATAAACTTTATACTTCCATTTTGAAAATGTTTTTCCCTCTCTGTTCACGGGGATGTCATCTGATCCATGTTAACTCAGCCAAACCATGACAACCACAGATGAGATGAAAGCGGAAATGATATGCACCAACCCATTATGCTCTTTTCTCTCCGAAAATATGTTGTTTTCATTTGTGAGCGTATCCCATACAAACGCTTTGTTTAACCAACGGCGTACGACCGACACACATAACACGTACCATCATCGCAGTACAACTGACACAGATAACACGTACCATCATCGCAGTACAACCGACACAGATAACACGTACCATCATCGCAGTACAACCGACACAGATAACACGTACCATCATCGCAGTACAACCGACACAGATAACACGTACCATCATCGCAGTACAACCGACACAGATAACACGTACCATCATCGCAGTACAACCGACACAGATAACACGTACCATCATCGCAGTACAACCGACACAGATAACACGTACCATCATCGCAGTACAACCGACACAGATAACACGTACCATCATCGCAGTACAACCGACACACATAACACGTACCATCATCGCAGTACAACCGACACAGATTACACGTACCATCATCGCAGTACAACCGACACAGATAACACGTACCATCATCGCAGTACAACAGACACACATGACATGTACCTTCATAGCTGTACCACTGACACACAGCAACACATACCCTTTACGCAACACCATTGCAACACAAACCCCGTTTACCGCCGAAGCAGATGAGCTGAATGCATTGACTCAACAGACGGTTCTTCCAAATGCCCGCATGCACTAAAGTCTAGCAGAGTGCACTGAGCTTCTGCCAGTGCGCCTAGCCGTCTCGTATCGATCCACTGCTTGGCACACACTCTAGTGTTTGCAATTATAGATGCGGGACCAGATTAGCCTTGCTAAATGTGACGATGTGTAATCCTTATTCAAGAAGCATCAAGAGAACCACGGTTAAATAGACATTGATTATGATACATAATCTTAAAAAAATAATGATGGCTTTCAGTTGAAGAAGTGGAATCCTGTTTAATTAACAATTCGCGCCGTGATAATTTGGACAAAAAAAAAAAAAATGCCATTCGATGACGCTTCCGATGACGCTTCCGATGACGCTTCCGATGACGCTTCCGTATACACCATCGTAGTTCTGGTCACGCTTCCTTCTCATTTTGACGAGTCCGGAAAACCGAAGGTACGGATAACCATTATCCGGATATTTGAGTTTGACCTGTATCGCTATTTGATCTTTTTACGTCAATATGTTTGACTAAGATGATATTAAGCGTCAGTCAATATGTTTGACTAAGATGATGTTAAGCGTCAGTTAATAAGTTAATATGTTTAACTAAGATGACATTAAGAGTCAGTCAATACGTTTGACTAAGATGACATTAAGCATCAGTCAATACGTTAGACTAAGATGACATTAACATTAAGCATCAGTCAATACGTTAGACTAAGATGACATTAACATTAAGCATCAGTCAATACGTTAGACTAAGATGACATTAAGATTAAGCATCAGTCAACACGTTAGACTAAGATGACATTAAGCATCAGTCAACACGTTAGACTAAGATGACATTAAGCATCAGTCAATACGTTAAACTAAGATGACATTACCATTAAGCATCAGTCAATACGTTAAACTAAGATGACATTAACATTAAGCATCAGTCAACACGTTAGACTAAGATGACATTAACATTAAGCATCAGTCAACACGTTAGACTAAGATGACATTAAGTATCAGTAAACACGTTAGACTAAGATGACATTAAGCATCAATCAACACGTTATACTAAGATGACATTAAGCATCAGTCAACACGTTAGACTAAGATGACATTAAGCATCAGTCAATACGTTAGACTAAGATGACATTAACATTAATCATCAGTCAATACGTTAAACTAAGATGACATTAACATTAAGCATCAGTCAATACGTTAGACTAAGATGACATTAACATTAACCATCAGTCAATACGTTAAACTAAGATGACATTAACATTAAGCATCAGTCAATACGTTAGACTAAGATGACATTAAGCATCAGTCAATACGTTAGACTAGGATGACATTAACATTAAGCATCAGTCATTACGTTAGACTAAGATGACTTAACATTAAGCGTCAGTCAATACGTTAAACTAAGATGAAATTAAGCATCAGTAAACACGTTAGACTAAGATGACATTAAGCATCAATCAACACGTTATACTAAGATGACATTAAGCATCAGTCAACACGTTAGACTAAGATGACATTAAGCATCAGTCAATACGTTAGACTAAGATGACATTAACATTAATCATCAGTCAATACGTTAAACTAAGATGACATTAACATTAAGCATCAGTCAATACGTTAGACTAAAGTGACATTAACATTAACCATCAGTCAATACGTTAAACTAAGATGACATTAACATTAAGCATCAGTCAATACGTTAGACTAAGATGACATTAACATTAAGCATCAGTCAATACGTTAGACTAAGATGACATTAACATTAAGCATCAGTCAATACGTTAGACTAAGATGAAATTACCATTAAGCATCAGTCAATACGTTAAACTAAGATGACATTAACATTAAGCATCAGTCAATACGTTAGACTAAGATGACATTACCATTAAGCATCAGTCAATACGTTAAACTAAGATGACATTAACATTAAGTATCAGTCAATACGTTAAACTAAGATGACATTAACATTAAGCATCAGTCAATACGTTAGACTAAGATGACATTAAGCATCAGTCAATACGTTAGACTAAGATGACATTACCATTAAGCATCAGTCAACACGTTAGACTAAGATGACATTAAGCATCAGTCAACACGTTAGACTAAGATGACATTAAGCTTCAGTCAACACGTTAGACTAAGATGACATTAAGTGTCAGTCAATACTTTCGACTAAGATGACATTAAGAGTCAGTTCACAAGATCAAATTCCTTTGAAATTAGCTTCAAAATATGTCAAATATTTATATGAACGCAATATTTTGTGTGTGATTTCTTTTTGTTGTTGTTTTGTTTTGTTTTTTTTGTTTCTTTTTTGTTGTTTTTTTTTGGACAAAACTGGGAATTTGATCAAATAGTAATTTGAAAGTTGTGACAAGGCTTCCTACAAAAATCGCGTGAAATGTACGAACGAAAATTTGACGCGAATTTGTTCGTGTGAGCTGAGCCTAAGTTATAGTTATAAAGGATTTAAGAGTTTCTGTGATGTCAGCAAAAAGATTCCTTCAAGATTTATTATCGCACAAAAGCTCTATTGGGTTAAAGGACTAAATAAAGGTTAAAGTTTAAGACTAAAATGTCGTCGAATCATGACATAGTGTAGCGTACATCATATCATGACCTAGTAATGTGTACATCATATCATGACCTAGCAATGTGTACATCATATCATGCCGTAGTATAGTGTGCATTATTATGGGCGCTGGCACAGCAAGAAGGAATCAACATGATTAATAAATCAGAACTTTGAGTAGTGATCTCTCCTTCTGGAGCAGTGAGCTCTCCTTTTTGAGCAGTGATCTATCCTTTAGGAGCAGTGAGATATCCTTGTTTGGAGCAGTGAGATCTCCGTTTGGAGCAGTGATCTATCCTTTAGGAGCAGTGAGATATCCTTGTTTGGAGCAGTGAGATATCCTTGTTTGGAGCAGTGAGATCTCCGTTTGGAGCAGTGAGATCTCCGTTTGGAGCAGTGAGATCTCCGTTTGGAGCAGTGAGATCTCCGTTTGGAGCAGTGAGATCTCCGTTTGGAGCAGTGAGATATCCTTGTTTGGAGCAGTGAGATCTCCGTTTGGAGCAGTGTGCTCCCCTTTTGACGCCGTAAGCTTTCCATTTCCTGTTGTTGGTTTTTAATGACGTGGCAAGAAAGCGAGGCAGTGAACCAGTGAACATGGAATCACCCGAGGAGGCAACCATTTCTGTAAAGAATGCGACAATGGAAAAGGTGAATGCCACGTACTCGGAACTCCCCCTTCCCCCCCCCCCAAACCCCCCAAACCCTTTGCCCAAGTGGGGTAAAGGGAAATAATTGTGTGAGGGAAATAACTCGTGTGTTTACTTGACATACACGAGGATCACTTCTCCTTCGAGTGAAGCTCACTAGTGGTGGAGGCCCACGATTGTTTCTCTAGTGAATTGTTGGTGGAGACTAGGAGGTTCCCGTATGAACAAGGTTCCGGCTAGTTATTTTTTTATTATTTTTTTTTTTTAAGTTTCTTTGAGTCAGGATTGTTAGAAAAATAAAAATGATTTCCTGGCGTTTCAGAACAGAGATGACAACGTCACACAGTTGGGTCGGGTGTCATAATTGATGAAATAATCAATTGTGGCTGGTGATTTGGGCATTGTAACATGTTCTTACACTTGAATGCTCACCTAAAAGAAGGAGAAAAACTCACCTGACTTGGACATCTAAGGGTCGCCGAGTCTAAAACTAAACTAAAAGATAAACACCTTTTGTAATGACTGTGGATCGTCTGCTGACGAACAAAGCCAATGATTACCTGAAGGGATAACACGAATGTGCTCTCGGCATGGTGAGAACTCTCGCTAAGACATTCTCCAGGGAATCTCAGTTGCCTAAACACAGCCCAATATCATACAATAATGTTAGGAGTCGTGGTCCAATATTAACCGATCATTTTGAGTCCCGGCCCAAAAG